AAATTGACTAACATCAATTGCTTGAAACTTACTTCGAATGGTCATCTGTTTATAAGCCGTCTCTGACGGACAAATGTAATTGTCTCTCCAATAAATTTCCATGCCTTGGCCTCTGTGAAGTTCCAGCAATTGTTCCACATACACTTGGATACACTGGATACAAATTTTAATTGGATAAAGATTAAAATTTTCTAAGAAAATTTGGAAAGAAACGAGAACTGTTATACAAGTTGTTCACCTCTGGATGATTCAAAGCGAGTAGTTTCTCTAAAGCAATGAACATAGAATAATTTGCAGCGTTTATCGTGCTTGCTATACCATAAATATTATGAGCTACAGGAATGCCCCTCCTTAAAACTGAATTATCTTGAATGTCGTCAATTCTGCAAATATTAATAAATCAATATTTTGTAAATGTCACATATAGGAGGAAAATGTTGGAAAGACTTGTTCGCTGCTGTTGCGTGCCTTCTTAAAATAAACGTGACACATTAAACTTACAAGAGACTGGAAGTATGAAGTAGCTGTATAATTTCACCGACAGCGAGCAGTTTATCCTGCGGTATTTTTAACCAGTAATTGAAGGCGTGTGCTAGCTTGGCTCTAATCTGTTTCCCAGGTACTTGCAGAATGTAAGTATATGGCTCCAATAATATCTGCAAAATGTTACATTTGCCTTAAATTATTAAAGTATACAGACTCCGCGGCATGACACATATCACGCGGTTCGTTCTTGTCATTTTGACACATTTTTTTAACCTCACCGCTCGTTATTTGTAGCGAAACGTAAACTAACCTCATCTTCCTCCTTGTCACCGGTCTTCGAATACAGTATATTTTTGTTTTTCTCCATTTTACGGAGAGAATAATTCGAGGACGTCTTAACTTCGCGAGTTAGATCGTTATTTATCTGACGAATCATTGGATATAATGCGATGTAAAGATCAATTATACCGACAGATAACACTCAGGCGCAGATCAAAGCCGACTTGCGCGTGTGACGCGTCGTCTGCTACTCACGTTGTACGCTCGTACAGATTTTATTATATATAGCGAGTTACGTGCGCGTGTGTGTATGCATATGTTTATTCTATTTGAAATTTGAAGGAGTGTGAGGAGCACTTAAATATGTGAGCACTTAAATATTTATAATTGATATAAAATAATTTATAATATGCAATAATTACACAGCTATTTTTTTCTCATTACTATCCGATAGGAATTTTTTAAATCACTTTTATTAAATAAAACTCTATGCATTCGAAATAACATATTTCGAAGAAGAAATTTGACTTATTAATTACACTTGTGAGTTTACAAAAAATTGCTTAATAATAAATGGCTGAGCGATGTTCTTTAAGTAAAAAATAAATTTATACCAAAAACGATGGGTCTTCTGCTGAAAAACTAACATATCGTCGCTTCTCTTTTTTTTTTCTTTTTTTATAAATTTGTCTTTTGTTTTATTCATATTATTAGCAACATTGAACGTATAATTTCTTTAAATTTATATATATTAGAAAAAGAAAAGTCAAATATAGATCCAAAATTTAGATTCACGTTATTTCTTGATATATTTACTGCCGCGTCATCAAAATGAGAAAGGAATTTGTTCTTCAATCAACCTGAATTGAACGTTATTATGTCGCTTTATATTATGTATACCCGTACGAAGTTATTTCTTCATAGAATCATTGTTACAATCATGTTATAAAAATTTATTGAGAAAAAGGACTAAATTATAAAGTAAAATATGATTTATTCTTACAAAAAAAAATAATTATACAATAACTTATCGAAAATCTTACTTAATACATATTTACAATTCGCATCAGTATATATAAAAAATGTTCGCTATTTGAGTAATTATTCCTTAACTCGTACGTATCGTTCTCTTCAAACTTAGAAAGCTATTGAATTTCATGCTGTTTCTTTTTTCAGCTAACGCAAATATAATTTACTTTGAACTCTGACTAGTTCACGACTTGCAATTCATTTAACGTGTGAAACGTGTCCAGAAGGTTCGTTTATTAATTAATAATATATACAGTTCGACGTAATTCAGGTAAATCTTCCAATAAGTAACATTTCAAAGCAAGCTGGTAGCGAATAAATAATGAATTCATTACTCGAACATCAATAACAGCTTCTTTATTATTCGACTGAATTACTGACAAACAAAGTCGACGAGCGATACTCGCTGCAGTTTTAAGTACATCATTTACAACTTCTCGCCGCTGAGATTGAGCACATTGTAATACGAATGGTCTGGGAACCTATCTAATTCGATGTAATCGGTTTCGTCGAGTAAAAGGCCTTCTGCCAGGCTGACCAGTTCTCCAAACGATGGCCTACATGCTGGATCTTTGTCCCAGCAATAATACATAATGTTATAAAGCTCTCTCTTGCAGTGTTCTGGCCTGTCTAGTCTGTAGCCCTCTTTGATCCTCCTCATTACCTGCAAGAAAAAAATTATATATACATATATAGCTACCGATTTTAATTAAATGCCTGTGGAATTAAACGTCAATGGAATTAGCTACCAGGAATATTTTATTGGATTATTCAAGTATAAAGGAATCTCCATTATCAGAACACCGATTATTGGAGCATCGGTTAATGGAGAATTTAGGGGGTGGTCCCTTGTAAAAAAGATTGGAATCTAATTAATTAAAAGTTAAATACCCGCCGCACTTTTTTAAAAGCATCGCGAGTCCATTCGTTCTTACAATTTCCCCGGCACGTAACATTTTTCACGTGTAATTTCTAGACTAATCTCACTTTTTGATATATTCAATGTATAATTTAATTATTTAATTATTTAAATTGATTGGAATGCATAATCCTTCGATTTACATTTAATTTCGTTTTAGTTTATTGTCGATACATTCCATCCATTGTAATACGAGAAAGAGAAGCGTAAAACGGTTCGTACGGCTGTTATTTTTATAGAAAATATTGGCCTCTTCGAATATGATCGTAGCAAGCGAAGCTCGAATTAATTTAAGTTTTATTTTCATTCCATTTAAATTAATTGATTTGAGAACGTTGCATTCGATTCTCAAAGGGATGCTTCTGTATTAATATACTCCGAAAGAGCGTACCTCTGCGGCTGCTAAGCCGGGATAAGGTGTGGAACCCAGGGTCACGATCTCCCATATTAATACCCCGAAACTCCATATATCCGATTTCACGGAGAAGATGTTATCGTAAAGGCTCTCCGGAGCCATCCATCTGATGGGTAGCCGGCCTTCGGACTTCCTTTCGTATATTTGATTAGCGGCCACGTCTCTGGCGAATCCGAAGTCCGCGACTTTGCACGCGCGATTCTCGTCGATCAATATATTCCTCGCGGCTAGATCTCTATGTATAATTCCTTTCGACGCCAAGTACTCCATACCTTTGGCTATCTGCAATATGTAAATGGCAGTGTAAGGCCTCCAGTGTGAAATTCGTTAATAATTGTGGATTAATAATACGTGTATTATCGAATTATTTGAGAATAATCTGAGAGAGATTAAAGAGATAATTGCCTTTATAATCTGTGTAATTCTTTTGAAACTGCTGGAAACTATTTACTTCAAATATTAAATAAAAACTCTGTTTCCTATTTAATCTTAAATACGTACATATTCATTGTTGTTAAATACACTATTGGACATAGTTAAGTCTAATAAAACGTCGCACAACATTCTGCCTGCGCTCGTTTTAAAGATCTCGTTTCAAAGCTTTTATTTTCAAAGTCAATTGTAAATTTGTTGTCTGCAACATTTCCAAATGAAATGTAACCGATTAAAGACTGATTCTCTATCTTTTCTATTCGAAATTTTTATAAATTCAAATTTCTCCACAAGCGTTGAGATATTTGTTTTAGAACTGAATCCAGTACTTGAAGCTTTCAAGATTATAATCTCCCCTTTCTGGAAGGGGGACGATCTTTTTTCGCTGATTTATTCAAGTTTGAATGAAAAAACATATTATTGTACCACTGATATTGGAATAATCCAAGATACATCACGAGGAAGTTGCACAATTGGATTCCTCATGTATCTCTTTAGTGTATAAATGTGTATGAGTGTGTATCCCCATAACGTTTTCTCTAATATTGATGCAATGTATTCGTATTCGTTGAAAAAAGTCACTTCCGAAACACTGCGCTTACACTCGCAAATATTCGCACATACTCACATATTAAACATTTACACTAAACATATATTAAGCACATATTAAGATTATTGTATTAATTTGACGGTGTAGTACATTTTTCATTTCAAGTTGAATAAATCGGCGAAAAAGCATCGTGCCTCAAATTTTAGAGGAGGTTTCAATTTCTATTTAGTCCTGAAATAAATCTGTTAATTTTGTGAAAATTTCGAAAAGAAGATATGTTTAACTTTCCATCCGTTTCGTAACAAAAGCAGAAGCTTCAGTCAAAGATTGACAATTTAGTGATCTTTTAATTCCTCGTGGAGTAGTATATACGCATGCTCTGTTTTCATGGAAAATAGATACGATTTCTAATTGTATCCTCCAATCAATAATTAAGAATGCAAATAAATTGCCCTTCTCTATATCTGAAACATTAAAATTTCAATCTTCTCAATTAGAATTGTGAACAATTTTCTCCTCGTACGGAAGGAAAGATACTTTCACCTGTAAAACTGGAGTATAAAATTTCCGTTATACGAATTATTAAAGTAATCTAATTGACCTTTGTGTTGAACAATAAAATACCTGATAGACAAATCCAGTTAGATCCCTGGACGTCAAACCGGGCCCGCCATGGTTTCTTTCTTCTCTGGATGCTCTTAGAAAGCTTTGCAATTTCCCGCCGCTCACGTATTCCAAAATCACGAACATAGGCTCGCGTTCTGTACAACAACCTAACAGTCGGACTACGTTCGGGTGGGGATCCAAATTTTTCATCACTCGCAACTCCTGCGCGAGGTCCAGCCGTTCCCTCTCGGTCGCGTTTTCCTTCAACGTCTTCACCGCCACGATAGTTGCACCTGATTTCCCGTCGATATCCAAGGCCTCGCACTTCCACACTTGACCGAAGCAACCCTCGCCGAGGATGTTGAATACCTATCGGACAAGACACAATGAATAAGAAATTTAGTGAGATCTCCTGGACGAAGACAACATTTCGTCGTTCAACCCTAACGTTCGAAGCTCTATAAAATCGTACAAGGGATCGTTTCAATCCTTCGGGATTGTGGCAGACACCAAAAGTCATGATTTTTCAATGTTTTTGGAGACGTTTGAATTTTGAGAATTTTTGAGAATAAAAGTACCTTTATTTTCTTACTCGCCGCATGGTATGAAAATATACTTGATCTGTAACCATATAGATTATTAAAGTAAAGGCTTTGCGATTTAAAATGAGA